CCCCCCCCCCCCCCCCGTGCCTGCAAAATGTTCATGGAACAATGAAATTACAAGATAATGCACGTTTCCCATGAACTGTTAAAAGCTCTCTCATGTGTGTGCAGTTCTGGCAAAGGTCACAAATACCATGGATGGTTTCAACCCTAGTTGTGTTCCTACATGTATGCATGCACACTGCAGACTCCTGCAGTCAGTGGGAGGGGTGTGCGTTTAGGTTTGCTTTCCTATCAGTTTGCCCTGAGCTCTCCACTCTCTGTCCCACTCCCCTCCCTGGCATGTCAATGATCGAAGTTTGGTGGTGGTGGTGGGGCTTATGGCTGTGGAATCATATGAAGCTAAAAGCTAACAGGCTCCATCTAGATTGAGTCTACACAATTTGGCCTCAGCAAAACTTATTTCAATTGTCACAAAGGTAGGTATATGATACATTTCTATATATCAAAAAGAAAAAAAAAACACAACCCTTTCTTGAATAACGTGAAAAATTCCATCTTACCTAAGACAGTGAGGGAAACCCCTCGATAAAAGGCCAGGAACCCTTCCTGTTGATAAATAGTAGAAAAAGCATGGAGGAGCCCCCTGTAAGATGGTTCCAGGATATTCTGAACCATCAACCGGGTTTTGATGAGGTCTGTAGGATATGTCACAATGGTGGAAACCATGCCTGCGAGACTCCCAGCCATGATGGAACTCCACTGGGAAATATGGCCTAGATCATCCGTGAACAGCACGACAAACCTGGGAGAAAATAGGGATAAAGCCCAAAGGAATCAGCTACTGGTTGTGTCCAAGTGTTCTATGCTACTCCTAAAAATATTTTCCAGGATTGGAAGTGCTTTGCAAGCGAAGACTATTATAGTACTGTATGAGGGTTCTTGACAAAGGTCATGGAAAATACATACTATAAAAATATGCATGGATTTAAAACGTTTTTGCACCAAAGTAAACTTCTCTTTTGCTTTCTTTTTTTTTTCATGAGCTTTTGAAGTCTCCTCATACTAGTATTAATGAATAACACATTTAAATGCTACTATATTTATATCATGCTGTCCAACCTTCTTCTATCTCCCCCAAGTCCTTCCCACTTTACTTTAAGCATTTCCCTCTTTTATCTGTATAAACGTCAACCTTGGCTTGCCTGTGGGATGTAGATACACAGAAGTACTTGGTCAGTACCAAGTTGCAATGCATTCTTTTTTGTTTCATTGAAACATGGAAAGAATGAAATTTTTTAAGACACTGATTCTGAACATTCCAATCATTGAGTTTCAAAAATGTATTGGTTTAATGGTTATAAGAGGCCAGCCTCATTTAGTTAGCCCCCCAAAATGACAACTACAAACAATAACAAGATACTATTTCTCACGCGGTAGACTGGCAAAGATTAAAAAGCCTGATACTATCAAGTGATAGTGAGGATATGTAAAAATGAATTCTCACCCACTGCTGGCAGAAATGTAAATTGGTACGACCACTTTGTAGTAGCTAGTAAAATTGTAAAACAAAACAAACTAAAACACCTACCTTTATGCAAGCAATTCCATTTCTAGGTGTACACCCTAGAGAAATTCTTGCATGTGTACACATGGAAACATATACAGCATTGTCAGTAAGCATGAAAAATGCGAACAACTTAAATGTCCATTGCAGGGGGAAAGAATACATTGCAGTATCATCATACAATGGATATTATCTGGTTAAAATGAATGAGCACAGGCCTATATATTGACATGGATAAATCACAAAAGCATAATATCTAGTGAAAACCGCAACCTACAGAGTGATCTACTGTGTATGAAAATCTCTAACTTAGAAGAAACTCATTCTGGAGGGCTGATGCTGTGGTGTAGTGGATTAAAGCCCTGACCTTCGGTGTCGGCATCCCATATGGGTGCTGGCTTGAGTCCTAGCTGATCTACTTCCGATCCAGCTCTCTGCTATGGCCTGGGAAAGCAGTAGAAGATGGCCCAAGTCCTTGGGCCCCTGCACCCACATAAGAGACTTGGAAGAAGCTCCTGGCTTCAGATCAGCTTAGCTCTGGCTGTTTTGGCCATTTGGGGAGCGAACCAGTGGAAGGGAGACCCCTTTCTTTTGTCTCTACTTCTCTCTGTAACTCTTTCAAATAAATAAAATAAATCTTTTAAAAAAATGCATTCTGCAAACAGTATTATCAATGGATAGACACAGATAAAAATACACATGAAGAAATATAAAAATAGACCCCTGGGAAAGTAGAGAAGAGATGAGACTGGGCTTTACCTATAATGTTTTATTTCTTGTATTAAAATAAAAGATATTTGAAGTATCTTTCATACTGTCTACCTTTCACGCTGTCAAATTTGGGATGTAGGTATGTGAGTTTTTCTCATCTAGTCTGTGTTGCTCTTTTTACAATTTCACCAAAAATGGCTTGGGGGGGAGTACTTTCCCAAATGGAAAATGGAAACCACTCTGTTACAATTCCTCCTTTCAGAAGCAGGGCATCCCTAGTCACAAGAGCCTGCTGGGCAGAAATCATTCTAAGGGGATTCTTCTCAAGTTCCCTTGCCAGGAAGTAAAGGAATTTTACTCCTTCTTGCTCATGAGAACAAAATCCAAGAGGGTTCAGAAACGAGGGAAAATAAGAACAGCATTTGTCAGAGAGTAGGGGTAGGGAGAGGAGGAGAGGAACAGTGACAGTTTGGACTAAAACATAAGTCAACAGAGCTGGGCCAAACAGAAGTATTTCATCTTTTGAAAAATGGGAACACTGCCAGTTCTTTGGCTTTCAAACCTCTGGTAAAGAGGTGCATTTCCTGTTCCTTCAGCTGTCAGCAGGCCTGGATCATCTGAAGGATAACAGTGAGTAGTCTGGGGGCTGGTGCTGTGGCGCAGCGGGTTAATGCCCTGGCCTGAAGCGCCGGCATCCCATATGGGTGACAGTTCAAGACCTGGCTGCTCCACTTCTGATCTAGCTCTCTGCTGTGGCCTAGGAAAGCAGTAGAAGATGGCCCAAGTGCTTGGGCCCCTGCAACCCAGAGGGAGCTCCTGGCTCCTGGCTTTGGACCAGTGCAGCTCTGGCCATAGCTGCAAATTGGGGAGTGAACCATCAGATGGAAGACCTCTCTCTCTCTCTGCCTCTCCTCTCTCTGTGTAACTCTTTCAAATAAATAATAAATAAATCTTTAAAAAAAGTGAGTAGTCAAGTGAAGCCATCTGAAGCATCCTAGGACAGCTTTGTTTTTTTTTTTTGTTTTTGTTTTTTTTTTTTTTTTTGTTCCTAGACACTCTGCATCAAAACCATTTCCTTCAAGCTGTAGGAGAATCTTGACTTCACTTTGTCATCCTACCTCAACTGTCTCAACTGGAACAGTTATTTTAGTTAACCAGCTCCTTTTTTTTTTTTTTAAGATTTATTTCTTTGTTTGAAAGGCAGAGTTGCAGAGAGAGAGAGAGAGAGAGAGAGAGAGAGAGGTCTTCCATCCGCTGGTTTACTCCCCAAGTGGCCGCAACAGCTGGAGCTGTGCAGATCCGAAGCCAGAAGCCAGGAGCTTCTTCCGGGTCTCCCACGCGGGTGCAGGAGTCCAAAGACTTGGGCCATCTTCCACTGCTTTCCCAGGCCATAGCAGAGAGCTGGATTGGAAGTGGAGTAGCCGAGACTTGAACCAGCACCCATATGGGATGCCGGCACTGCAGACAGCAGCTTTACCCGCTACACCGCAGCACCAGCCTCTAACCAGCTACTTTTAAGATGCAGGTAAGTAAAGCTACCATTCTCCAGTGCCTCAGTTTTAGTGTCTGCATACTTCCTAGTTGCTCCCCGCTCCATCCCCTGGCCAGTCATATTGGAGAGGAACCTTAGGAGGTGCGCAGGAATTAAAGGAACTGCAAATGCTTGGCTGGAGGGGTGGTCTGCAGCAAGCTGGAACAACCTAGAAGGGGGAGTCTGAAGTGCTGAAAGAAATGCCATTCATTCCCCCCTTATTCCCCATTCCAGTTGGCCACTTCTAGGGCATTAGTTAATTCATGATTTGTTTACTGAATGTGCCAGGCACTGCACTAGCACTCAGCATAGGGCATAAGAGAGTTTAACAGTCCTGACAGAAGACAAGGAAGTGTGTGACAGGGGCAACTGAATGAGAAATAGGCTCTTGGCTCATTGAATGACTTGAAGTAGGAAGAACTCTATCTTGTATCAGTTTGTTTTATGAAGTAAGGTCTTATGATAAATATATGAAATAAAAGAGAAGAGTCACAGGGAATCCTTTTTTCTCAGACTCCTGCCATCTGATAAGAGACAGGACAACTAATCCTTTCCCTTAGAATCAAGGTAGGCCACTAATGACATCATCCTGGTCTCTGTATCTTTTTTTTTTTTAAAGATTTATTTATTTGAAAGGCAGAGTGGCAGACAGGGTGTATGTGTTGGGGGTGATCTTCCATCTGATGGTTCACTCCCCAAATGGCTTCAATGGCTGGGGATAGGCAAGGCCAAAGCCAGGAGTCTGGAACTCCATCTGGCTCTTCCACATGGGTACAGGGGTCCAAAGATTTGGGCCATCCTCTGATGATTTCCCAGGCACATTAGCAGGAGCTAGATCAGAAAGGGAGCAGCTGGGACTCAAACTAGTGCCCATGTAGGATGCTAGTGTCCTAGGTGGTGGCCTAACCTGCTGCACCACTATGCCAGCTCTATGGTATCTATATCTTAAACTCTTGTCTGATTGGGTGGAGCACCAGTGTTTCCAAGCCTGCTCCTCCTCACCCCCCCACATCCATGTACTGAGCTTTTTCCAGGGAGAGGGGATAAGCTACCCTTCCTTTCAGTCACTGCAGATATTACAAACACCCTGGGTATATGTGATCAGAACTGCCAACATTTCAACCTAGCACAGGTTAGCAGCCAAGGCAGCCAAACACAAACTCAAGAAGGTTATGCAATAAGGAAATGGTGTTGATTATGAACAATTTCAGAGCTTCAGGGACCCAAAGCTATGTTTACACACGGATAGACAAGAAGTTGTGGAATAAAGTTGGGGGGAGGTGTGTTTTCTATTTGATGCATTTGAAAGCCACCTATTGTGTCAGGTAATAATTATTACAAGATCCCAGCTTCCCCTAACCTGTGTCTGTCTGTCTCTATTTCAAATAAATCAATCTTTTTTTAAAAAGGCCTTAGCTCCCCAGTAGACTACTGAGTGGACCTTGATCATGAATCCAAGTAAGCGGACATTTCAGCAGCGCAGTGGTAGAGAGAGTTCCGCACTAAGGAGCCAGCAGACCTGGATTGAAGTTCCAGCTCTGCCATTAGTTGTATTCACGGACAAGGCATTTAACCACTCCATTCCCTGATCACGTGGGATGTAGATGCTTTGCTCAAACTCAAGATCATAAGCTGTCCCATTACCCACAGCCAAGTTGCAAATGCAGGGTCAGGCAAGAGTACAAATGAATTAGTATAATGATAAACCAAGAATATCATTTTTTGTTGCAAGGAAAGCACTTTGTTTCCTAACTATGCTTTGCCACTCACTGAAATACTTGCTTTTTGTTTCCAGAGAGAAAATAATCCTGCAGGAAAACAATTTATTAGCAAACCTAGCTAAGGTCACTTTTGGTTCTTCCTCTTCCACACATCTCCTCTTTTCCCCTCTCACTGTCATCAGCCTGTTTCAGGTACCTTCTGTTGCCACATGGACTAGTGTAACAGGTTCCTAACTGGTCCTACCACCCCCAATCTTCCTCCTCTCTAGTCATCCTATCCTGCTATCATGTGACACTAATTCCCTTGAATTGCTTTAATCACAGTTACCCCGCCCTCTCCTTGCAAAAAAAAAAAAAAAAGAAAGAAAATCTCCCACAGCTACCCTTGCATACCAAGTCAAGTCTAAACTTCTTTAAGCTGAACCCCCAAGCTCTCATTCCAACCTGCTTTTCTGGCTGTATTTCCAGTCATGCCACATGTCTGCCCACCTCTGTGCCCTTCCTGACACGATCTGCAATATCTTTCTCCCCATCTTTGCCTAGCAGACTCCTCCTATTCATTCTCCCAAGGCCAAGCCAACATTTGTTTTTTCTCCTCTGTGAAGCCTGCACACTTCCTCCTCTTCATCCCTCATCAGAAATGTAAACTGCCATAGCATTTCATCCATGGCAAACAAGGTAGCACGGGTCTATTCTTGTGGGTACACTGTTTTTATTCCTCTATTCCCCTGTTAGCTCCTGGGGGCACTGGGATTGTGCCCCTTTCATCCCTGCAATGCCCTGAGCATCGTGCACACACTGGGTACCTCATGTAGCTTAATGAAATTCATGTCAAATGAATACAGAGAGGAAGGCAGAGTGATGCAATAGAAACAATCTAAGCTTTGGAGTCAAGGCCAGGTGGTGGAGCTCAGCTCAGCCACAGAGGAGTTGCGTGAGTGGTCTGAGCCCAGTTCTGCTTTGGACCTCACAGGGCAGGAAGCAGAGTTGTAGAAATCAAACGAGGTATATCTATTAGTTGGCTAGCAGAACGGCTAGGGCACTTCAACCAGCCTGTTTAGCTCTTCCCCCACACCCACACACATTCTATTCCATCCAAAGGGAGATTTGCATACCACTTTGTGGAGAACAGGGTGAAGCAGGGAGGAAGTCAGAGGACAACTGGTCACAGACTGCCAGGGCAAGGGAGAAGAGCCTTGACACAAATACCACGTGACCCTACCCATGAGTCTCTCTCCAGAAGAGAGAGAAGGGGATGCCACTCCCAGGCAGAGACACAATGAGTGCTGGCCTAGAGCGCTCAGTGATCAGGATGATGCCGTTCAGCTTGCCAGCTGCCAAGAGGCCTTATCAGCTCTGGTCTTCCAAGTGAGTGTCAAGGCAAAATGCTCTGTTAGCCACCAAGGCTGAGCTCTGTGGTCAAGATAGAGCGCATCTATCTGCCCAGCAGCTGTGAGCTGTTTGTCTAATTCAGAGCCAAGGCCAATCTCCAGAGTTGGCACAGTGCCCCGGGAGTGAGAGACCCAGGGACCGTCAGCCCTCACAGACAGCTACTTCCTGTTCCGGAAATGCCATCCCTAGCCTTCCTACTTTGATGCATCTTATCTAGCTCCAACGCATTTCTTTCCCCAAGGAGCAGCTGTGGATGTGGATGTCCAAAGGTACGAAAAGCTCAAAGAGAGTCCGGGTGGGCAGCTGGGAGCAGGGTGATGTCATAGGCTGGAGGGGCTGCTTGTAGCTTGGAGAGGGGAGTCTGCAGCCCCTGGTTTGGTCCTCGAGTTTAGGTTGGGAGAGTGAGTGGGCACAATCTGGTGGCCTCCCTGGGGTAATAAGGCTTGGGCCATTTCCCCTTACCAAGCACTTTTCTTCTTGGGGCATTGGTTACGCATAGCTCTACACACACACACACACACACACACACGCTTTTTCAAAAGGGTCTCTTTCCACCTAAGCCGGCCAAAGAACATTTCCCAAGTTGGGGGACGGTGGGCATGGTCTCAGGAGTCATCCCTATGGAGAAGTCTTCATTCCTTTGCCCCATACCTCCTCGCGTTCCATTCCACCTCCTCGCCCCATGCAACCTAGCGAGCCTCTCAGGGCCAGGCTGTGTGCGGTTTGTAGGGCATGAATCCCAAGACAACATCAAAGAACAAAAAACTGGGGGACTGCACTTTAGGGGCCTCCTGGCCCAACTGCTGCAAGGGGCTCCCACGTGACCCGGAAGGGGCCGTCCCCACCACAGGGCCCCGACTCAGGGCGACTTCCCAACTTCCCGGCTTCCCGGCTCTTACTTGCGGTAGGCAGCGAGCTGCACGGCACTGCAGGGGAAGAGGCGCAGGCACGCCACCGCGTTCCCCTTCCACAGGGCCCGGGGCCCCTCGGCCCGCCACACCCGGCGCCCTGTGGCCCACGGCCCCCGGGCGCGGCCTCGCGCGACGCCGACCTGGGCCAGCACGGTAGCGAGCTCCAGGGGCGCGGTGAGGCTGAGGCTGAGCGCGCCCGCCAGGCCGGCGCACAGCAGCCGCTGGCTGCCGGTCAGCCGCACGTCCCGCCTCCACGTTGCCATCCGGCCCCGGCCCGGCCCGGCACCCCGCGCGCGCCTCGGGCCCGAGACTCTGCGGCCATCGGCGGCGAGGGCGGGCCAGGCCCCGCCCGGCGTGGGGCGGGCCCGCGGGAGGGACTGGGAACCCGGTTCACGCCCGAGCTGGGCCGCGGGGGCTGGAGGTGGGGTGGAGGGCCGACCGCGCGGGCTCTGAGGCCGCGCCGCGGTACCGTGGGTCTGCTTCTCAGCTGCCAAGGCTCGACTTTTCGACTTTGAGTTCGGAAAGAGTCACCACGTTCTCTCCAAGGCCCAGCCAGGTAGACTTCTTGTGTCCTAGGTGTTCAGTGCTCCTCTTCTCTTTTGCCCTCTTATTCCCTCTGCTCAAAGAAAAAACCTTGCGGCTTTCTCAGTGCGGTACAGAAAATCCTTCCGTAACAACTACAGCTGCTGCCTCTCACGCACTTGTGAAGTACAGGGCCTTGCATATATTATCTCAGTTAATCCTCAACACTGTGGGCAAGTCTTCCTTTGGAGAAGCTGAAGGTGTAGTGGCTAGAACTGGATTCTGGAACTTGCCTTAGAGTCTTGGTTCTGCAGTTTACCAGCTGTGTGATCTTTGGGAAGTCATTCAACCTCTCTGTGCCTCAGATCATGGTTTCTTCCCTGTTGGCGCGGCTGTAAGGATTAAGTGAACAGAGACTGGTAGAGGTAAGCAGTATGTATGTGTTATGATTAGATATCATTTTACAGAAGAGGAAACCAAGACATAGAAATTGGCTCGCTCCAGATCACACAGCTACTACAAAGCAGAGTAGCATCCAGTACAGGCTACACTCCATGTGTGGCATACATGCCCTCTGGGGCTGCAGAGTGTAACTCCAGTAGGGGCATTTGCAGTGCCTCTGTTAGCTAAGAGGACCATAGGCACAAAGAAGGGCCAAGAGTGACTTGACCAGAATCAAAAGCTTTTTTTTTTTAAGATTTTATTTATTTACCTCAGAGACAGAGTTACAGACAGAGAGGGAGAGATAACAGAAAGGTCCATCCGCTGGTTCACTCCCCAAATGGCCACAACAGCTGGAGCTGGGGCAGTCCAAAGCCAGGAGCCAGGAGCTTCTTCTGGGTCTCCCACATGGGTGCAGGGGCCCAAGGACTTGGGCCGTCTTCTACTGCTTTCCCAGGCCATAGCAGAGAGCTGGATTGGAAGGAGAGCAGCCAGGATTAGAACTGGTGCCCATATGGGATGCTGGCACTGCAGGCAGAGGCTTAGCCCACTAAACCACAGTGTCGGCCCCCAGAAGGAAGGCTTTTTAAATAAGATTAAAAAAATTTTATTATTTATTTATTTGAAAGAGTTACAGAAAGAGAGAGCGAGCTCTTCCATGCAGTGGTTCGCTTCCCAAATGGCCACATCGGCCAGGGCTGAGCCCAACCAAAGCCCGGAACCAAGAGCTTCATCAGGGTCTCCCGTGTGGGGGCAGGGGCTCAAGGACTTGGGCCATCGTCTGCTTTCCCCAGGCACATAAGCAGGGAGCTGGACTGGAAATGGAGCAGCTAGGACCGGCACCCATATGAGATGCTAGCGTCACAGCGGGCAGCTTTAACCCTTACACTACAACACTGGCCCCTATTATGTATTTTTTTTTTTTTTTTGACAGGCAGAGTTAGTGAGCGAGAGAGAGAGAGACAGAGAGAAAGGTCTTCCTTTTCCTTTTCATCCCCCAAATGGCTGCTACGGCTGGTGCTGTGCCGATCTGAAGGCAGGAGCCAGGTGCTTCTCCTGGTCTCCCATGGGGCACAGGGCCCAAGCACTTGGGCCATCCTCCACTGCCCTCCCGGGCCATAGCAGAGAGCTGGACTGGAAGAGGAGCAACCGGGACAGAATCCAGTGCCCCGACCGGGACTAGAACCCGGTGTGCTGACGCCGCAGGCGGAGGATTAGCCTAGTGAGCCACGGCGCCGGCCCCCATTATATTTTTAAAATTGCATTTTCCTATCTCTTTAAAAAACATTTCAATAGTAGTGAGTACAAAGAAAGGAATTGTCAGTAGTCATGAGGTTGAGCAAGACATCTCAGGTACATAGTTGCTTATAGTTATTTTCCACATTTACTAACAGACAATGATAAAGGAGCCTTTTTTTAACTTAAGCATGTTTTTTATTTGCCACAATAATTGTACATACTCATGGGGTATGGTGTGGTGTTTCGACACATATATGCAATGGCCAATGATCAAATTAGTGTGATTAACATAACCATTACCTTAAACATTTGCAGTAATTTATTGTATATTTCAGATTAGCTGGAAGAAAGGATTTTGAATGGTTCCAACACAGGGAAATGAAGGAACCTTTTTAAAAAGGCATTGCAGGGGCCGGCACTGTGGCGTAGCGAGTAAAGCCACCGCCTGCAGTGCCTGCATCCTGTATGGGCGCTGGTTCAAGTCTCAGCTGCTCCACTTCCGATCCAGCTCTCTGCTATGGCCTGGGAGAGCAGTAGAAGATGGCCCAAGTGCTTGGGCCCTCTGTACCCATGTGGGAAACCCAGAAGAAGCTCTTGGCTCCTGCCTTTGGATCGGTGCAGCTCTGGCCATTGCAGTCAATTGGGGAGTGAACCAGCGGATGGAAGACTCTCTCTCTCTCTCTCCTTCTCTCTGTGTGTAACTCTGACTTTCAAATAATAAATAAGTTTTTTAAAAAGGCATTGCAGGCTTTTGATTAGAAGAATTTTTTCTAGTTACAGAAGCCTTGTTCTGCACTCAGCAACTGGGGGATGTTTATTTTTCTTTCCTTTTTTCCTTTTAGAGTTATTTTATTTATTTGAAAGACAGAGTTACAGAGAGATGTAGAGCCAGAAAGAGAGAGAGGTCTTCCATCTGCTGGTTCACTCTCCAATTGGCTGCAATGGCCAGAGCTGAGCCCATCTGAAGCCAGGAGCTTCTTCTGAGTCTCCCACACAGGTGCAGGGGCCCAAGACTTGGGTCATCTTCCACTGCTTTCCCAGGCCATAACAGAGAGCTGGATCGGAAGTGGAGCAGCCGGGACTTGAACCGTCGTCCCTATGGGATGCTGGCACTGCAGGCCAGGGCTTTAACCCGCTGCGCCACAGTACCGGCCCCAGGATGCTTATTTTTCGTGTTTTGTGAATTCTTTTTTGCAGAAAGCTCATTTTATGGCTATGGGAAGTAGGGTAAAATAGATTTCTGACTCTGAAGACCAGACTTTAAAAGGGATTTTAACTGGAGTTTGAGGACTATAGTAAGGAAAACTCTAGGTACCAGCTCTGTGCTAAAGAACTCTATTAGACAACAGGACTAAATCCTAAGGCTCCTTGTGGGAGCTCCACTCTGGGACTGGAACAGTTGATACAATAACCCATTGTATGCAGACTGGATCAACTGAGCTGTGTTGTTCTGTTTTGCTTTAAGGCAACCCATATGACAGCTTCAACTGTAGCATCTTGGGAACTGGGTATGCCTTTTTGTCAAGCCCTGCTGTTCTTTTTTCTTTAGCACAAGTAAGATTTTCATGTGAGCCAGAGGCAGGCAGAGCCATGTTAGTCTTTGTGGGGAGCAAACCGGACTAGACTGAGTTACTGGAATTAAGACTTATTCTATGCATCTGCTCTCCCACAATATGGCGCTGGGAGAGAAGTAAACAGCTTTTACACAGCTGCCTCCAGTTCAACCAATAAACTGTAGGACTTGCTCCTGATTGGAGGAGAGCAGCGTACTCGGCGTGTGGGGCAGCCGAGTTGGGA